TACAACTATGTATACTGCTAGTGAAGTGCTTTTCTTGTAACTGTTTTCCCCAAGTAACTCCTTATCTCTGATATTGTACTCATCATTTGTTCTGTGAGCAATTGTTTATTTTTTTAATAGCTTACCATGGATGATGAACCGTGAATGTTGGCTTTGTTAATCTTCAAGCAGTGTTACATGTGAGTGATATTGATTGCATGCTTTTTTGTGGTTTACTACATGATTGGAAGTGGGTGTATGTTACAAAATAAAATTCATTGTCTCATTATTTCATTTACTCATTATATTGTTTTTATTAGCCGAGACGTGCATTGCACGTACAAGCTTACTAGTAGAAAATAGAACAAATGTGAAAATGAACAATTTTTTAATACTCAAGTTTTTTTTTTGAATATGTGAACAGTTTTTGAATTTATGAACAAAATTTGTAAACATAACAATTTTAAATTTTTGATCAATTTTTGAAAATTCCGAACATGTTTCTACAAATAAAATAAACTTGAAAAACAAAAAAGAAAAGAAACATAAAACATAAAACGAATAAAAGAAAAAGAAAAAAACAGGAAAACCCCCAAAAGAAACAGGAAAACAGGGAAAAGAAACAAAAACCGGTTCAGGGAACTTTCTAGAAGGTTCCGAAAGCAAACAGGCCGGCCCATTGCGACGCTTTGGCTGCTCGGGTGTGCGAAACCCCAGCACTTTGACGCAACGAGGGTCAAATAGGATTTCGCTTTGTCTTGTTCTAGAAATAAAAGGACTCCATAAGCAGACTTTTGGTGGGCTTAGCTGCGTACTGGGCTAGCTACGGGGTTGTCCATGCCTGAGCGCAAGGTGGGCTCGCTCAACCGCGACCGCGCACTAGCCGGCGGTGCCCCCCATCCGCGGCGCCGGCGAACTGGACCTGCAAGCGCTGCCGCCATTGCTCGCCGCCAATCCTCCCCTCTCTAGTATAGCATCTCTCTACCGCATCCCATCTGCAGTGGCGCCGTTCCTAATCAACGGCCTCCGGAAGGGGAAAGGGGCCATGGGGCCGCCTCACCGCCGTTGTCTTCGGTCTCATCCCCCCACCCCACCCCACCCTCGTTGACAAAGGTAAATCTTGTGTCAAAATCACTCGTGCAACAATTTGATGATGAACAGCTCACCTCACATACCACTTCTTCAGCAGGGCCAGACAAGTCTGCAGCCTGAAGGGCAAGGATGGGGATAAATCATACGAGTGGTTCAGTAAAAAAAGGATCATACGAATGGCAATTCAAAGTAAGAGCAGCAACTTATTGCACACCTACATTGCAAACAACTGGATGATCTGTTGAATGGCATTGCTTTATCTGCTCCATGATTACAGCTTACAGCTAGAAAGCTAACATACCAACATCGTAAACATCTGGCTTGTTGGATAGTATTGTTAAGAAAGCTAACATTACCAACTTACAGAAGAAAGAAAGCTAACATACAGCAAAAAAAGCATGCTAGACCTGTTAAAAGCTGACTTGTAGGTTATTGTTCCAAAGTTTAGAAAACGTGGTCCTTTTAAGTGCCTCCCTCGGTGCTGAATACGATTACAAGTTTTTCTGGTGGTAGATGATACATACAGAATGGTTAATGTATTGTTGTTTAATTAAAGGCTAGGCTAGTGATAGGTTTAGAAGAACCTTATTGGGGGAAACCCAGGAAATATGGATCAAGACCCATTACCTATGTGGCATTGTTACCTTAGTTGATGAAAATGATATATGTGTGTAGTTACTGGAAAAATCTTGCCAATTTACTGTTAATTCCTTAACTTTGCAAGCAAAATTTCAATCTGAGTTCCTCCTACTCACAGCTTTGCAAGCTAAAAATCTGAATTCTTTGGATTGAAAATGTAGCAAAATCCTCTCACAGCCAACGGAAGCAAGAACAAAGAAACATATATCATCAATTATCAACACTTTTGGTTATCAGTATCAGTACATGTAGAATTTTACAGTTTTCTCGTAACAGCTTACAGCAGGTCTGAGACACCTTTTCTCCTTTTGAGGAAAACAAGCCGCACCTAATGTCATAGAAACCCAGTGGAAATGCTGCAGAACATAAAGGCACTTGTGGTAACTAACATACCAACTGATTTTATTTTTATTAGTTTGTCCCTCAGACTGCCAATTTACTTCTCTGATTTATTAGAGCAATGGGAATTTTACAACTTGTTAGTAATTTCAGCCATGATAGCTGAAATCAGATTTGCGCTACAGGTGGGGCTCAAAAGAGTAAAATTGAGTTCATGTGTTGTGGACCGAGGAAGGTTTGCAATGCTGAGATATTCTACAGGTTAACAACAGTACAACACTCAAGAATATTAATAATTTGAGAAAATACAACAGATCATTGCTTTTTCTTATATAAGACAATCTCCTACGCACAATCTAATTGGCTACCTTTTCATAATTGTCTGTTTCACCTGGGGCCTGATACATCTGAGGCTAGAGGTGGAGCTGAAGAGCTCACATTTCCTGTGCTACCAAAATTTGCTGGAGTTGTTACAACAAAGTTATGTTCTATGTTGAGGTCTGTTTTCATGGTACCTTCCAATACTTTAACCCCCTCAGACACTTTAGGCCTTTTTTTGCAATCAATCTGCAAGAACCACATTGCAAGTATCATCATCTGAATTACATCTTGCGTGTGTGCTTGCATGTTGTTGTTGTTATTGTCAATCAAATCTACCAACCGATCACTCTTCACCTTTTCCTCCAATAGGGTGATGAGATGAATGTTCTCTTCTGACCGGAAAGTGTCAAGGTTCTTTCTTCCACTGACGATTTCCATGACCACAACGCCATAATGTAACTTTCCTTGAATCCAATAGTTCTCTTTGTTACTTGATGATGATCCTCTGCAAGTGACCAGTGCATCTGTAGCACACAAGAAATAATACTAGTCTCCATTGTTCAAACTGAATACCCAATTTCACTTTCGTTGTGGTGGGGGTGACTTTACATGAGAAAATTTCTTATATCAGCTAAATATTTCGTTATGAGGTAGCTATGTATACTATTTATTGACTATTGTCTGCATTTTACAACATATATGATTTTATTTACTATTGCTAGTATCTATAAAACTTAATTATTTTGTTCAAGTTATATTGCCTTCTCTTATCTACAAAAGGTTAGTTACAAAGCATTTACAAGAAGCAATTTATTTTTCTCAAGTCAACTCATATACGTGTGATATATGTGTAATTGACTTGTTCGTTTCTCTTGTCCATTTGTCTTCTCAGAACTGTTGTTAGTTGCCTGACTTATGCTTTATAGGCACAACCATTAATTGTGTATTCAATGGAGCTAAAATGTTGCATGAAACATAGGATGATTAACTGGTTTATGTGCTAATGTGCTGAAATGGTTCAAAAGGTAAGAAGATCTTCTCCATATAGCTTGTGAAACTGACTGTTTGAATTTTTTGTCTGTGGGAAATATCTGGCTGCCAGCCTGGATAGTATGCACTCACTCATTTAGCTATAGGGATTTACACATGAGAATAACATAGAGAGCAATTAAAATGGTGGTGATGCAAAGATAAATTGGCTCCTTTTTTCAGTTTGTAAATGATATCCAGATGTTGAACATAACATTGGTGTTGAAATTACATGTGTGTGTGTGTGTGTGCGCGCGCGCGAGAATCTGGACATGCCTATAGTTTTATCTTTGTTTAGCTGTTTCATTATCTAAAAGCTCAACTAAAAAAAGATGTATAAGCTTAAAGCAATAGAAACCAGCTTCTACTTAACTTCCCACAGGAGTGTCGGTGCGGAGAAGCATTAAAAATCTCAATAGTCCATTTTGTTATTAGTTCATTATTACAAACATCAGGTACAACTGAATTTTTCTATTCGCCATATGATTGGAACACATACATCATATTAAAATGACTAAAATAACTCGTTTTCAGAACGTAAATGATATCTGGATGATCCAGATGTTGAACTACATGTGCCTGTCGCCATGCCTGAATTCTCATTGGTTTAGCTATATCAGAATAAATAGGTTGGAAGCATTATGTTAGTATTCCAGGTTTTAGGAAACCTCACTCACGAACAAGTGCAGCCTATCGACTCTACTACTAAAAGTAATACTCTATATTACAGGACGCTGAAGAAAAACTAACATGGACATGTACCGTTGAAGCACATAACGATTTAATAGGTGCCATGTTTCTTCTTCAGTTGGGCATGCACCCCATCAGGTTCTTTCCGTCAGTCAGTTCATATGGCTGCAGCTCCTCCAATTAGGCTGCTGCTTCAAAAGGGAAAATCTCGGTGGGATGAAAAATCATCTTTGTTGCAATCAAAATTTGCATCATTTATATGATTGCCTGAAACCAAACCAAGCAAACAAACCCATGGTATAAGCAGATTGAAGTGGTGTTCGTTGGGGTGGAGAGTTGTCGCATGAAGTAGAACATTGGATAGGTAGATATATAGTACGAAAATCCAGTATGTACTGGTAGGTATAGGGACGGGCGTTCAGACGTGGCCTTGGCTTCCTTCCAACAACGACGATTGTGCAGGGTAGGGAGTAGGGACGGCGCACCTCGAATATCTATGTGAGAATTCCTTATTTGGCCCTATTTGAAAATGGGCTTCCTTATTTGACCAGAAAAAATATTTTTCCCTATTTGGCCCTCTGTCATTTTATTTTTTTCTATGGCATTTCGATCCAACGCATTAAGTGGCACGTGAATAGACCGTTTTGCCCTTTGGTTCAGAAAAGCCAAAAACTGTTTGACCCTCTATCTAAATTATATATAAGGAAACACCAAACCTCTTCCCTGTTTTTTCTTCCAGATCTCGCCAAACCTCTTCGCCGTTTCCTCTTCTAGATCTCACCAAACCTCTTCTTTGTTTTCTCTTCCAGATCTTGCCGGCGTCTCCATTCCCAAATCGAAATCTCCACGGCGACGACTCGTCGGCGAAGCCTGTGTCCCTACTGGACAAAGGCGATCTCCTTCAGGGGAGCATGGTACGTCTTCGTCCCTTTCGGATGAAGATGATCTCCTCTAGGAGATCCTCATCGGTGGCGCCTGAGTTTCACGAAGAAGATCTCGCCCGCCCCGCACCGCAGGCATCCTCCCTCCCGCATGCTTCATCGATGGCGCTGTCCTCCCCGCTTGAAGACGACGATCTCCTCCAGGAGATCCTCCTCCGCCTCGTGCCGCAACCATCCTCCCTCCCACGTGCCTCTGCCGTCTGCAAGCGATGGCGAGGTCTCCTCACCGACCCTAGGTTCCTTCACCGCTACTATGCCCACCACCGCAAGCCTCCCCTCCTTGGTGTCTTTGAGACTCGTAGCGGGAGAAACCCCTTCATTTCAACTTTGGACTCTCCCGACCACATCCCCCCCGAGCGCTTCGACCTACAACGTCACGACAGCTTCCCCAAAAGTGTTCTAGATTGCCGCCATGGCCACGTCCTAGTCAAATACTGGATGCGGGAAGACCTCGTTGTGTGTGATCCCATCACCGGTGAGAATCGCCACATGTCTGTTCCATCGAAATTCAAGGGGGTATTCATTAGCGGGGCGGTGCTTTGTGCTGCCGGTGACCAGGGCCATGTGCACGGTGGCTGCCACTCCAGTCCTATAAAAGTGGTTTTGATGTCCACGACAAAAGATACTAGAGCCCTAGCATGTGTTTACTCCTCAGAGACTGGCGTATGGTACAATCTGATCTTAACATCAACTCCATGTCAGCTTTTTGTTGGTCGTTTTTCTGCGACCCTCATTGGTAAGGCCCTTTATTGGCCGCTTTTTACGCCTGAGAAGGGCATACTGGAGTTTAATTTGGAAGAGCAGAGACTAGCTGTGATTGAGGGTCCTCCTTTGACAAACAATTTCGACATGGGCAATATTTGGATCATTCAGGCTGGGGATGGTGTTGTTGGCTTAGCCGTATTGTCTTATCCTTTCTTCCAAATGTGGCAAAGGGAGGTCAATTTTCATGGTGTTGCCACATGGGTACTGCAAAAGACCATTGAAATACATAGCATTGGTCTCCCTCCCCAGATTGGAAGAGGGACAGGAGCAAAGAAAACTATAGTGGGATATTCTGAGGATGCTGATGTAGTGTTTATACTTGTGGGTGATAGTCTATGCATGGTTCAACTTAAATCGATGCAATGCAAGAGACTTTGTGAAACCAATCATTCAGTTTGCTACTATCCTCTCACGAGCTTCTATGTACCAGGTGATTGTTCATCCATGGGCATTATATTGTAGGAGTAACTTAATCCAGTTATTTTCCGTACATGGTTAGTTGATGAACATGTTCTGTAAGTGATGAGTCCGTAGCACACAAGAAATAATTGCATTTCTTGTGTCTCTAATTAGGCTAATTTATTTCAAATTGAATACCCAAGATCACTTTTTTCGCTTGAGTTTATTAGCCATATTTTTTTGTCTCCTTGACATAGCAAGGGATGAGTTTACATGAGCAAAATTCTAGACAATATATTTTATGAGTCATGAGGTAGCTACTTATACTGTTGTCAGTAATATCTTTTGCACTTTACAACAGATGTGATGTAGTTTACTATTGCTAGTATCTTGCCAAGTTACATAACCTTTTCTTGCCTGTAAAAAGGCCGTTAAAAAGTCTATGGAAAGTGACCTATTTTGCTCAAGTTAGCTCATATATGTAACTGACTCAGTGTTCCCTTTTCTTATCCATTTGTCTTCTCATTGGAATTGTTGTTAATTGTTTGAATTCTTATTATTCTAGGCACATCCATTGGATCTAATGGAGAAAATGATGCATGAATATAGACGATGGTTGTCTTCTTTGATGTGCTAGTAATTCAACAGGTAAGAAGGTCTTCTGAATATAGCTTCTGAGATTTTGATTGTTTGATTTTTTTTCTATGAAAACATTCGCTTGCACACGTGCGTAGCATGCACTCACAAATTATGATCCATTTGCATGGGCTTGCGTAATTTATATCTAGGTGGTGAATACAGTGTTTGTATGCCTATCTGGACATGCACAGAGTTCTCCGTTTGTTTAGTATTTTCATAATCTAAAACCTGAAATCAATGGATTGCCCCCCTTCTTTTTGGGCTGGGACTTAGGCAGTGTGGAGAAGCCTTAGAAAACTTAACGGTCAATTTAGTTATTGGTTTATTGCAAACATCAAGCATTCAACTCCTCCACCCTAAAAAACGATAGTGTCAAGTTTTTTCTATCATTAGTATTCCTAGGAGATTTATCCAGGACTATGATATATGTTATAGTGATGTTCTTTATATTGTTGGACTAATAATGAGTTTGTTCCTCCAGATGAAGGAATGACTGATGCAGTTCTCACCGAGTTTGTTCCATTGCATCAATGTGGCCAGCACTATTTATATGTTATCTGAAAAGAAAAAACTTGTCATGCTAGTCTAGCCCAATTTCTACTGTAGCAAGATGCTGCTTCTGAATACCTAATCCAGGGAATTTCAGCTTACCGTAGTGTTATTTGAAATCAAATTTCTTTCTTTATATGCTTGTGCTTGGGAGCTCTTCTCTTCGACAATGTGTGGTTCAGGCCCATGGATCACCAAAACTTATATGTTTGTCAGTTCCTGTATTCTTCTCGGTTCTTGTGCTTGGATGCCATTACAGTCGATGTATTTTGTACCGATGGGAGTTTCAGCCGTAAATATGACCTATACTTATATTGTTGTGTATTCTTTTCAGCGGTGGTTTGAAAAGCATGTCATTGTTGTCGATCTTAAGTGGCCATGATCCACTTATGCTCCTTTTATTTTTTAGATTAATAGCAGGAAATTACTGTGCACAAGTTTGAGCCTGCCTGCTTGAAAGAAAATGGTTCTTGGTCTGAACTAACTAAATGCCAGAAAATTTCAGTACTTCGTTATCCTGAGTGAGGAAGCTACTGTCGAGTACTTCATTATGGTTAGTTCATATGAGCCAGAGGATTCGTCATTCTCGCAGCGGTTGTTTACTACTGAAGACGCGACACTAGACGACAGCGAGCCTACAGTCATAGTGAAATCCGCAGGAGCTAGACAACATGAGGGTTGGCATTCTTAGATGTAATTATCCCTGAAAGAGTGAGGTTGCATGCGAGCTATTACCCTGAAACGGTGTGAGTTCCTCTACGAGCAGGTATCACAGCTATCATCACCATCGTCGCCATCTCATACAAAATCATGGGAACAAGTTCATATATACTAGTACAAAAGTTTTAAGCAGTTAAAGATCAGCAGCAGCTGAAGCATAAAATTAGAGACCAAGTACTCCGCGTCCCTTAGACCATGCTTTCTTTCTGTTTCCATTTCAAGCACCCATAGTACACCCACTATATTCATGCTAACAATGTTTGCACAGAACTTTCCGCAAAAAAAGAATGTTTGCACAGAACTTTCCGCAAAAAAAAATGTTTGCACAGAACTTCAAATACAACTCAAGATTTTGCAAGCTATTAGTCACCTAATAATATTTTCAAATAATACATGCCTTCCAGAAATATGATTACTCCATCATCTGACTGCTACTATTACATAGATATAGATATAGCAATTGGACTACTCCATCATCTAACTGCTATAGATATAGCAATTGGACTACTCCATCATCTAACTGCTACTATTACATGATTCTGCAATCGAAACACACATAGTAGATTAATTTCATTCTCGGTACAGCCACGACCATTGCTCCAGCTTTCCAGGAGCTATGTGCATCACCTCATGCATTACATCACACACACCTTATTTTCACTCATCCTCCTCAGAGATTTCAGGCACCTCGGATGACAACGTAAGTATCCTCAATATGGATGTGCCCTTCATCACAGAAGAACGGTCTGGAAGGCATTTGCAAGCTATCCTTCCAGCATCTCTATGACCTCGCTCATTGTCGGACTGTCACAAGAGTTCATCAAATAGCTAACCCTTGTATGTTTCTTACTTTAACCCTAAATCCAAGTCTGATTAAACCAAAGCTTGGGTTAAAATATAATAGACAAAACTATCCATGTAAATGATCCTTCCCTCATGTATGTACCTAAATAAAAATTATATTGTTTATAAGGATAAAAATATAGTTTATATTTTTCTATTTTTTGGAAAGGAAGGACGAAGCCTCCCGAATCCTGCATGCCAGATGCAGGCAACCATAATTTTATTAAAGTTTGTATGAGACAATGGGACCAAACTAATCAATAAACAACATACAGTAGGTAAACAACAATGGCCTCAACCACCTCAATTAAGTCCCGCTTACCAAATTAGTGGATTATTTAAAAATTACAAAGAGACTGGCACAAATAACTAACTTTCTCAAATCAACCCCTAATGGATAAGGTCACTACGGTACGACAAAGCTACCAACTCCTTCAAAATTGCCTCCATTCGAGCCTCTAAGCCACATCCGAATCTATTTGTTGATGGTGTAGAGAAAAGCAGATTAATCCGGCGCTGGATGAAAAGCATGCTTGACTTGAAAAGGTAAAGTTTTCATGGCGAATTTAAGTGCCAACACGTCTAGGAGAAGTTTTGATAGGTGCACTTTTCTAGCTCATCTCGTCTATTTTTGTTTTCTAGACGGGCTCGATCACTCATCTAGGGAATTTGAGACAACAACTGATGACCACTCCACTCAGATGGTTTCCACTTTCTGGCCTGTCTAATATAGCCATTTATGTGCTAGTTGTAGCCTTCATCTATCTTGTCCTCCTAGGATGGTAAGCAATGGAGTATCCGAAGACAGTGGTCGAACCGTAGGGAGGTGGAAGTAGCATTGCCAATTATTGTAATGCATAATGGTACACCATAATAAGGCCCTAACACCAACACATCTTACCAGCTTAATACCATATAATCAGTACAATAGATTAGTTTTAATCTTGGGTACACTAAGAGTCTACAACCAATGATGATGTGCTCATTAAATGAAACATGCATGGTTGAGACCATGTGCAATTATATCAAACCGGACGAACCTACGTTGCAAAAAAGATATAGCTCTAACATAAAACGTGAGTAATAAATCAATAAAAATAGAATACAAGTGAATGTCGCATGTGCTAGAAGTGAAGAAGCGTGAAGGCACACGAGTCGATAAATACAGTGAAATACCTCCACTCCAGCAATTCCCAACATATGAGCATAGACCCCCTCCAAGACTTGTAGCTCCTCTGATGCTGATGAGTAGAGATCGTGCATATGTTTAGATAGTACATCTTGTGTTGTACATGGATGGTTTTTGTAGGATTGGAAGGCATCAGAAATTATTTTACCACGGCATGGTTCATCATTTCAAGCATTTTGATCCTTTAGGTCTCCTCTATGAGAGGAAATTGGGCATCATATCCATAATTGCGACCCTGCGGTATCAATCATGTATCAAACTAATGCCAAGACGCTCAAGGAATATCGTTGGTGCCCATGGCAGCCTCCACCAGCGTAAGCATTAGATTTTTGCACTGGTGCCGCCGTGTCTCAGCTTGAGTATGGAGCGTCTACATCAAGCCCGGAGTTAAGCTGTTGATAGTTGGATTATCTGTGGTACAAACTTGAATCTTTGGTGTCGCATCGAAACCAACACCTGCCATGATTATACAGGTGCATGTAGGTAGACGTCATCAAGAGCCGTTCGTGCATTGTAGATCGACGAACCAACTCATAGATTAATTCAGTTTCTTCAATCGCGTTTGCATATACATGTGTCAGTGGGGAAAAAAGAGAGGAGTGAGCGAAGAAAAAGAAAAAACACAAGATCAATCAAAGGCTCATTACTAGGAAAAGGCCTATTAGTGGTGCACCTGTTTTGCCTACTAATGGCGCACTACAGGTGCGTCACTAGTATCATGCCATTAGTATTTTTTACTAATGGTATCTGGTATACTAATGGCGCACCATGCAGTGCGCCATTAGTATAGCCCACGGTGCGCTATTAGTATGCCTTCCAGGGGGCCATATTTACACATGTGCTTTGGCATATTAATGGCGCACTAGTGGATGATGCGCCATTAGAGTCCTTTTTACAGTGTGCCATTAGTGTGCTGAGTGGTGCGCCACTAGTATGAATATTAGGGATTTTTTTTTTAATATTTGCACATGTTACAAAACATATTACTGCACATAATATAGAGAGCACAACATATAAACAACAGATTCATCGAATACAATAAAAGATTAGTCTCCGAATATACAATTCATCATATTAGTCTCCGAATTCAAAAGACCGAACAAAGATAGAACATTACAAGTCTCAAGACCGCGAGTAGTGAGTTTGTCGGAAGTAATACTAATCCTAACAAGTCTTACTAATCATCATCATACAACTTCTACTCGTTATTAATAACAAGTCATACGATCATCATCTTGATAGTCATCGAATCAACCCTACTTAATTGTTCTTAGCACATGATCATCAGTATTAGGCAGGACCTAAATACCCTATTTAAGGTAAAATAGCATAAAATAACATAGACCCTGACTCTCCATTATGGAGAATGGAGATCATCCTGTCTCCAATTATTGCGCTTCGCTTCCTTTTGCTTCCAAGAACCTTCTTACGACTGTCAATAAATTTTTTCCATCCTTTGATTTGCATGTTTCCACTTCTTTTAGAAATCTGGTATGGACAATTGAGATTCGTAGGATGACCTGGCTGCATGTTCAAAACATTAAGGCTACCTTTCTGATACATCAAATGAGGCACATAATTCTCTGGGATTATCTGTTGAAAAACATAGTAATAACTTCATAGTTAGCAATGATGTACTACTTTTAGTATGCAAAAGATGCAC